GGTACCCAGACCTTGGATCCTGGACATCCTTTCTGCGCAAGCCATAACTAACTCCTGTTATCTGCTTGGTTTGTCATTTGCTGTCCTGGGGAGGCGGGGTGCTCTCATCATTCACTGTCCTGCAAGGAAAGCCCAGGCCTGGCCATGGCCGTGTTGGCCCATTCCATTCCTTCTGCAGCCAGACTCAACAGCAGCTAGGTCTCATTCTGTGCCGTTACGAAGATTAAATGAGCTTATACCTATGAAACTCTTAAAGCAAGGCTTATTGGTACATGCAGACGCTCCGTGAAGATTCCCTGTTTTTATTAGCAGTGTATCAGGAGCTTAGAACAGTGCTTGGTACATAGAAAGGTACATAGTTTGTGGTTTGTATTATAGTCGTTCATTTATTTAGTCAGTAAACAAAGCTTTCCCACTTTTCTTCATGGCAGGCATGCATGAAGAACAAGCAAGACACCATGACAGTCCCTGCCCTCGGGGAGCTCAAGGTCTAGTGACAAGCAGACAAATGAGCAAAAATGCAGCCGGGGGTGTGAATGTTGCCATCAAGAGATGCCTAGGGAAGGTGGGGTCAGGAGGAAGCCCAAATCTAATCTGGAGGGAGGAGAATCGTAGGAAATAATAATATCAGAGAGGTATTTTGAAGAGCAGATGACGCACGTAATGAACGTTGTAGTATTTGGGACTGTAGTAGCTTCCTGGAGGAGATAACTCTGGAGCTGTACCTTTTGTGAGACAGCCCTGGTGAATTAGGGGAGAGAACAAGAGAGAGACAGACAGACAGATGGGGAGTTCCAGGAACAGTGAGCAGCATGAGCGGCTAGAGCCCGGGGTGGCGTGGGAAAGCCCCGGGGCAGAGTATGGCTTGGAAGATCTATGGGCAGGTACTAAGAGCACTGAATGCCAGACCACGGAAGTTGGATTCACTTAACCACACAGGCTGCCAGCCCTAGTCCCTTCCATTGCTCCACCAAAACTTAAAAAAGACTCCAGGATCAAGTCACATTTCCAAGCCATGTTTGTTATTGAGTTAGGCTACTTTTGAGAGCCAGTAAAGCACATGAGCCCGTTAAAGGCTCTGACAAGTCCAGCAGGAAGGAACGTGGTTGAACCTCATCATTTCCCAGACGCGTTTGACCTCAGAATCCCTCCTCCTCCAAAATGTATTCGCCTCACAAGAATCAAGTGGTATTCCCAGGAACACAGATTGTGAGACAGCCCTGAGGACAGGAAGACCTTTAAGCTGACTGCTACCATGGTCTGTGTCCCATATCAGAAAACCAACTCCCCCATCAGCAGCAAGAAGAACAGACTGGAGAAGACAACTCTGGAGGCCTGAGGACTGGTGGGGAGGCCACCGGGAGATCTGAGCAAGGGCTACACGTCTGCACAGAGGAGGAAGGGGTACAAGAGCCGTGCGGGGTAGAGTCACCTGGTGCCGACACTGGAATTTAACCATTACAATGATGGGATCCCTGAACCTGGGCGTCAGGATCCCGTAGAGCTGGGGAGTGGGTGGTCCAGGCAGCCTCTCCTCCCCATCCAGCCCGGTGGCCAGTTCCAAAACAGGGGGCACGATGACAAGATGGTCTGCGAGGGACCCTTCATTTGTGCCATGCTGACTCTCCGAGGCCACAGGCTGTCTCTACTTCTGAGGCACGCAAGCAGTAAGCCGGACTAGCTCTGTGGCATCAGGGGTGGAAGAGCCGATCGATGTGCATTTATTAAACGCCTACTGTGTACTTGGCCTGAGCACCTGGCCCTGGAAGGGTAGGAAGGTGTAAGGGTGCATCGGGACCCATCCTGGCAGTCACTTTAGTACAGGAGGAAGGACTTTGAGGTGAGAAGACCGAGAGAGGCGAACCCCAGGTCTGCCACACCAGTTGGATGGCCGGAGCGAGTTCCTAGCCCCTCTTATTCGTTTCCTATGGCTGCTCAACGAAGTTCACAAACATGGTGGCTTGAAACAGTAGTTCACTGTCTCAAAGTTCTGGAGGCCAAATCAATATTGAAGTGTCTGCAGGGCCATGCGCCCTTTGGAGGCTCTAGAAGAGGACCCCACCTTGCCTCTTGGGCCTCTGGTGGCTCCAGGGTTCCTGGGCTTGTGGCCACTCCAATCTCTGCCTCCTCCCATGGCCCTCTCCTTTCTCCTATAAGGACGTCAGTAACTGGATTGAGGACGGGCCCTGCAGTTTATCTTGAGACGGTTTTATCTGGAGATTCTTAATTATATCTGCAAAGACCCTATTTCCAAATAGGGTCCCATTCACAGGTGCCAGAGGCTAACACTTGGATCCATCTTTAGAGGGGATACTATTTCAAGCTGCCACACCCTTCATGCCTCTACTTTCTTGTCTGAAAATGGAGATCATTACAGCACTTGTCTCATTGGGTGCTTGGGATGCTGGCGAGAGAGGTCACATGCATAAAACCCTCAGCAGAGGAAATGGACAACTGGTTGCTCTTATTCATTCATCCACATGTGAGAAGAGTCTCGTACCTGTCCTTGCAAATTTACACCTGCATGATGCTCTCGCTTCTACGCACTATGATTCCAGGCCACCAAAGTGGTCATTTTGGTGGCATATGGATTATGGCAAAAATGTTTTTCATGTTCTGTCATCAGTCCCAAGTGTGTAGGGGAGGAAAGAATGTCAGCGTCTCTGGGAGTGCAATCACAGGCCACAGATATTTGTCATTTGGTTGGTCACGACAACCAGGACAGAATGCTGCTTGTGCCCTGAATTCCAGATGGGCAGTGGCTACTGGGCATGACAAGGATTTATGGGGAGCACCTCGGCACACACAGCCATCCCTGCGCTCATGGGCGCCTTCCTGCCCCCTGCACTGTCTGAGAACATGGGCTGCGCCAGGACCCAGCCATCCAGGCCCTGGGAATGCACAGATAGCACCATGTTCCAGAAGTCTTAGCACAGAGAAAAGAGGGCAGGTGCACAGACTGAGATGCAGGGAAGGAAGTCCCTCGAGATAGGAGCTCAGTTTCAGGCTCACGGTGGGATCCAGGTGGGAAGCAGAAGAGCACAGCTCAGGGCTAGTGCCTGCTAAGAAACCAAATACTTGCTCACAGGATGCTTAATGAACAGGTGAGATTGCCACCTCTGAAGTCAAGCTGATCTACAAGGGAAAGACTGGGCAGACATCTAGATGCTAAAAATACACAAGTCAGCGTCTGGATGAAATTTAGGATGGTCCCCAGGCTTCTGGGCGATGGGGTGGATGGCGGTGAGGCTAAGCATGACAGGGAGAGGAGATCGGAATGCCAATTCTACTAATGAAAGCCATGCCTGAGGTTTCTGGAGCACTCACTCCGGCCCAGCCGGGCAGCATATTCTCTTATTTAATCCTCATAACAGCCCAATGAAGAAACTGTTCTTATTACCCACATTTCACCAGACTGAGGCAAAGAGAAGCTTACGTAACTTGTTAAACTCAGGTCCAGCCACACTGACCTGCTTACTGTTCCCCAGCATAGCCCGTCGGTTTGTTTGTAAGGCTCAGATAACCAAAGGGGACATTTCCTCCAATTCCCAATGCTGCCTCCCCCTAATTTGGACTGAGTATCTTTGTGTACTTAAAGAAATGTTGATATGAACCTTACTTCAAACAAGGATTCTGTCCATGCATGAGGCACACCTCAGCTTGGCACTTCCCTGCTGTGTGACATCCTTCATGCCGCTGGCCCTCTCTGAACCTCATCTGTAAAATGGGCCCCAGGCAAGCATGACCCTGTGGGCTCTTGTGAAGAGGTTCTCGTTAGAACCAGAGGGGGAACGTGCGCTCTAAGATACGGAGCAAATGGGGAGCATCGCCACAGGGCAGCCGGAGTCTGGCCGCTGGCTGCTAACCCAAGAGCCCAGATGGGAGCGTGCGTGTCCTGCCCCGCCTGCCTCATCCAGCCCTCCCCGTTCCCATGCCCGCTGAATGCCAGTCTGAAAATTGAGCTGAAACATCTTTAATCACAACATGTTGTGGTTCCAAGGGACAGATTTTGTCTGCCCTGACAACTGTAAAATGGAATTACGTCTGCAAGTTAATTTGCTGGAAAGGATCCACATTTCACAAAATTTTCCTGGAAGCCAATACGAGCAATTACAGCGTGGACGCACTCCTGGCCTAGCGACTTGGGGGTGGAGCAATGAGATTAACGTACCACTCGGCACATTAGAGCATCTGAGGGCCCAGGGTACCCCAGGACAGGCACCCTGCCCTGAAGAACCAGCATCCACCACCCTGGGGCCTCCCGCCTTCACTTTTTGTTCGGCTGAGGTGAAATTCACAGAACAGAATGACCCATTTCAAAGGAACAATTCTGTGGCTTTCAGTACATTCTCAATGTTGTGTGACTACCACCTCTCCCTGGTTCCAGAACATTGTCATCTCCCCCAGCGGACATCCACTAAACAGTTACTACTCCCCATCTTCCCGAACCGGGCAGCCCCCAATCTGCCTCCTGTCTCTGTGGATTTACCTGCCCCGGGAGTTTCATATCCCACCTGTGCCAAACTAAGACTGTTTCCTGCAAGAGGCAACAGTCTCCATGGGTTCTAGGCGTCGCCAGTTGTTGGGATGCCTGACCCGGTGTTGGCGCCAGAAGCAGGGGGACATTTACGAGGTGCGGTTTCTTCATCTTAACTCAGATCTTACCCCACCCGTGTTCACGCTGACAGTGATTCATGCTCCACCCATCCACCTCCTTCAGGGGGCTTTCCCCGCCTCTGCCCTAGCAGACCCCCTCCACCACACACTGGAGCACCCCTACGCCCCCCAGGGGCCACACCAGTGTTTCCTGTGATGCCTGGGACTTGTTCTCGAGCCCGCTCGTGGCTTACGGAGGGCAGGAGCCACATGGCACGGTGGACGGAGTCCTGGCTTTGCCCTCTGAGAGGCTGGGTTCCTGTCCCCCTCAGGTCCCCTCTGTGAGGGGCGGTGAGTGTAAACTGTGGCATGCGGTGACCTTCTCTCTGTCCTGTCTTTGGCAGCCCCGGAAGTGTTCCAGGTGTATGTGGACGGAGGCCCCGGCTACTCGTACCCCGTCGACTGGTGGTCCCTGGGTGTCACGGCCTATGAGCTGCTGCGGGGCTGGGTAAGACACGTATCTGCGTGGGCAACATGGGGAGCCCTGGAAGTCGGGGCTCAGGTCAGACCGGACCTGGGTGCTGTTGGCCGGCCACGCGGCTGGGAAGGAGCCCACGCGAGGAGTCAGAGGCCCTGGGGCCCGGTTCTGATGGCCCGTGTGCCTGAGGTCCCTGAGCATGAGCGGGGCCCGGAGCGAGCTTCCAGTCCAGCCGCCTCCTTCTGCTCGTGGGGAAATGGATGTTCACAGGGGAAGGTCTTACGTAAAGGTCAGCATCTCGTCAGTGGCAGTTCAAACACCTTGGCGTCGTGATTTCATTTAATAGCTGGAGATAACTAATGGCAACTGATAACTCAATTTTACTTCAGTAGAAAGAATTATGACAAACCAATTTTGAAGCATTTTTCTTTGCACAAGTATTATTGGAAAATGATACCACTGAACCTTGGTTTCCTTCTTGGTACAACGGCGATAAAAGCCTTCAGTCTGTTTCATGAGGCTGAGGTTACCATGGGATCACTCCGCCCCCCGACGGAGACCCAGGGTTTGCATTTTAACTCGCCTTCACTTCTCCAGACCCCGGCGCAGAGCCACTGGCTACGTGATTGTGTCCACGCACACTGAAGTCAGTGGGGGTGTACTCCTGGAGGGCAGGGGTGGCCCGTGCGGGTGATAAACAGTAAGGAAGGAATGAATGAATGATGAGAGCAGTTTGCAAACCATCAAAGCCATGTGAGTGCAAATAAGTATTATTATTTTTCATCCTGTAGTTTAACAACTATTTTCTGCTCTTGATCTCAATTACTTCCTCTGAATTCCTCAAAAGCATAATTACTATACATGATGTTTTTAGAATTAAAAATATACATATATATGTATATATGTATGTGTATATATATATATATACACACACATATATATATAAGAACTTGTTTTCTCAGGCACTGAATGAAAAAGTTCATCTTCTTCTTGGCTGGTCCCTTTGTCATCTGCTGGTTTCATTGATGCACACAGTCAGGAGGGAGTTTGAGGGTCCTGAAAGCTATATGAACCAGAGGACATAGGCATCCTCCAGATGCTGTTTATCTGACGTCCTCAGTCATACAAATGCCCTCGGCAAGCAGTTGCCCCAAGCATGATTGGATGTTCATCAGCTGAAAGTACCTTCTCTATGTTAAATAAAAATCAATTGAGTAAATTTGAAGATCTAATTGGCTTCATTAAACGATCTGTGAGTCGAGCAGCACCCCATCTCGCTCGTTGCGAGGTGCTCCAAGGAGTCCTGTGAAATGGAAGGTTTTTGTAGGAGGGTGGGGCAAGATGTTATTAGCAAAAGAAAAAGATTCTTTTAGGCAAAGAGCTTTCTAGGGGGCAAGGCAAGCTGTCTTATCATCAGATTATCCGTCTTACTTCTCGGGGTGGAGAGGACCCAGGGGGCAGACTCCAGGCCAGGATTGAAAAATTCCCAAATCACCAGTTAAGATGACATTTCTGGGAGAGGTTGGACCTGCAATTAGATATGTATTAGGCCCTGATTTGGGAACTCGTTCTAAGAGACAGCATTTTGGGGCCTGTGGATTTTGTGTTGTGTTTTTTTTTTTAAACATCTGCCACTCCTCACAGGTCAGAACAGTTATAGATGATGACTTGGCAAAAAGCCCCAAGGATAGAGTGGTTCTCGCTGGTTCCAAAATAAATCGTTTCATTTTCAATGCGACAGAGTTTTCTACTCAGAGATCCAAATGCCGCGTTCAAGGGAGGAAAGAGAAGCCCCCATGGGATCGGGGGCTTGGGTGTAGTCGTGGAGTGACTGAATGAAAGAATGCCTGTTCTGTGCTTGTGTTAACCTTTCTCACAAATGTCTGGGTCTGGCTTCACCTTGGACAGGTTTATGCAAACAGTTAATTCTCTGTTTTTCATACATACAGGAAACAATCCCATTTGGGAAAAAAACCATACCGAGACGCACACCTACTTGTCTCTGGGGTGTGTAGATGGCTGTCCCTCCCCCCCAGAATTCCTCCATCATGTCAGTGACAGCATCCCTGATGAGTGGTCATCCACCTCTTTGTTCCTTGATTCCCTCAAAACCCAGGGAGTTTCTTACCTCCCAAAGATGAAAGCCATAATGGGAATTTTCTGGTGTGTGTATTCTAGGATGTTGGAGTTGGAAGCAGAATGGGTAAGATCAGGACAGTCTGCTGGCTAAGGACCCAGGAATACTCTAGTCCCAGTCCGGAAAACAGCTGTCTCTTCCCAAATGCTCTGTAGGGAGAGCCGAGGAATCGAGTGTCATCAATGGGCTTAAGATCTCAACACAGAGACTCCCATGAGCCTGGGTGGATCTTATAGTCTGAACCAGGGACGTAAGTAGGATCTCTGAGCCCAAAGTAGAATCTTAGTCCTCACTCCGCACACCTGCTGAGTGAAAGAAAGAGACCCAAGATTGTGCCGCCTGGAAAGTTCCCTGTTAGAGTACAGATCCCTTGGTCTCCCTGGACTGCGACCACACCCTCTGATTAGAGGGGAGAGGATTCCCCGCCCACAGACCCAGAGAAGGGCCTTAGAGACCTCAGCACGCCGTTGTCCCCTTTCCCGCCTGCCAGGCTCCAGATGGCATCCCCGACAGGTGATCACCCACCTGTTCACTGGTTCCCCTCAGCATCCAGGGAGCTCCTTACGTCCAGAAAGAACCTGTTTCCTTTTCTGACAGCTTTAAGGGCTAGAAAGTGTTTCCTCTCACTCAACCGAAAGCTGCCTCCTCATTACAGACAAAGAGGATCTTAGAGGAATTCACAGGGTCAAACCCTAGCTCTACCAGGTACCTCGTCGGTGATCTTAACCAAAGCTGGTAAACCGACTGAGTGCTAACAATCCTCATCTGTTAACTGGGGGAAAAAAATTAATAATAATATTTACCCAACCGGGTTGCTTTGAGAATTAAGTCATTTCGATGGTGCTGATTAGTCAGCACGTGCCTGATGAATGTCAGCGGGCTTCCGCTCCTGGCTGTGATTCTTGCCCTGGGGGGCCTGCCAGCAGGCCGGCGTCCTCTCTGACTTAGCACCTTTCCATGCTGGAGCAGGCACTGGGAGTGGAGGCTGGGTCACGCCTGGTGGATGAGCGCAGCAGGGGGAAGGCCCCGGGGCCCCGTGAGCAGAGATCTGTGCTCTCTTCCTCACTCGGGGCTCCTCGGGGCTCTGATTCTGGCTCAGTCACTGACCTCCTCTGAGCCCCGGCCTCCTCCATCATGAAATGGGGATCATGAGGCCGACCCATGGGCCACGGTGGGGATGGCGTGAGAAAATGCGGCAGAGCACACACCGCATCCCGCATGCGTGTTAGCTATGCTCCCGGCAATGACTCTGATGTAGGATGATGCACATCAAGTGCTGATGACTTGCTCACAGGAACGTGGAGAATACCTGAAGGAACAGACATCTGAGCTGGGTCACAGAGGAGCTGCTGGAGGGAACAGTGTGGGTACAGATGGGGAAGAGCCACTGTGGCGGACACAGCAAACATGGTTGACTGACCAGCATTCAGAGGACAGTCGGGGGACAGTCTGTAGAAGCCTCTGAGGTCAGCTGGAGACACTCGGGGTTACCAGGTAGACAGTGGTGCTGTTGGTGGACGTGGGGCACGGTGGTTGAGCGAGTGTCCTTTGCAATCACCCATTTCCGGGCTCACATCCTGGCTTTGCCACATGGTCTCTGAATGCTCTGGCGTGAGCCCAGTCCTCATCTACCAAGTGGGCAGGCGGGATTTCAGGCCCAAAGCACAGGGCTCCTCGACTTCAGCACTGTAGACACGTGGCGCTGGGGAATGCTTTGTGCTGGGGGCGGTCCTGTGCAGTGCAGGATGCTAGGAGCATCCCTGGCCTCTCCCTACCAGATGCCGGCAGAAATCTCCCCCACTGCGTTATGGCAACCAAAAATATCTCCCAACATCATCCACCATCCCCTGGGGAACAGATTGTCTCCGCTTGCGGACCACTGCCATAGAGTAACCAAGAGGACTAAATGAGATCCTGAGTGCCAGGCTCATGACACATTGCTTTGCACAGAGTGGACTCTCGATGTAAACAAAGGGTGGGGCCCCCAACCCCTCCCCATGGTGCCCTGAGGCCTTGTACCCTCTCTGCTTCTTCCCAGCCACCTCCCTGACCTTGCCTTTGACCCCAGTCAACTCATCTCCTTGGGGTCTTGTAGACAGAGAAGGTCTAGGGTGCAGAGAGGTGATGAATAAAGAGGGTGTGTGGAGCTCCCCTAGAGGCTGCAGTGCAGAACGAAGAACTGGGTCTACACCCCCTGGACGGGCTCAACCGCAGAGCAGAACAGGGAGTGTAATGGTAATGGTGTACAAAGCTGATGGAGAGAGGCAGTCCTCAAGTTGAACACAGACTTCTGGTCCCTTGGTAAAGAGACAGAGAGAGCAGTGTGCCAGGAGTCAGAACCTGGGAGGAAATGGACTCTGTGACCTCACTCTCTGGGTTTTCTGTCTCCATTAAGGGAGGGGAAAGAGCGTGTGGGTTGTTCCAAGGTTTTCAGGCTGTGTTTCCTGGATCTCTAGGACCCAGCAGAGGTGGTTCAACAGCTCTGGGGGGGTGGGGAATGCTTCTTCTGGCTTTGGAGATTTCATAACCCGAGAAAGTGTTCCTCACTTTCATCTGTTCCGTGTTTGGGATTTGGAGTAAAAAGGTTTTGGGGGAAAAAAAAAAACATTGGATTAGATGGTCCTCAAAGCCCAGCTCAGCTCTAACAGCTCAAATAACAAGTCTATAGCAATTCTTGTCCCCTCTCTTCGATTTCTCCGTAAATTGGCATTTTTTGTAAACTGAGTTCAGTCCTTGAATAGAGACCCACCTGCACTCCATAATGAGTATATCTGGTGCCCTGCTGCTAAAATCACTTTCCCCAGCAGTACATGTAATTACTTTACCTTAGAAATGCCACTTGCTTTTCTGAGTCAACACATCCTAAGGCCAATGCATGAGAACCAAGCGTCAATAGAATTCTTTCCCCGAGCAGGTGAAATAGTGATCTCAGGATTTGCCGATATTCTCGTAGAAGGAGCTGGGCTTCTCTGCAACCACCCACATGGACGAAGGCTGAGCCTAGAGCCACAAGCTGCAGAGCATATCCCATGCCTGGTGTTCCCAGCTTATCTGTGAATGTATTTAACCACTGTGTTGGCCTCGTGGCTTATCAGGGTTACCATAATGATGACCCTTGTTACTCTTATTGGTCTGGTTCCCTCCAGAAGCAGAGAGGACAGAGCTAGAGAGTGGTGGGTTTGGAGAGGGGATGGAAAAGCAGATTGATGGATGCCTTGAGGCAACCAAGAAGGAATGACAGAATGCAGTGTGAATGATGAGAAAAACCTTCCTATTTGTTGTTGGCTGGTTCTCCAGCCAGGCGCTCGGCCAGGCGGGCTCTGGTGTCGGAGAAACAGCAGGGAAGGAGAACCTGCATCTCTGTGGGATGGGGGCAGGGTCGCTGTTTGTCTTCCAGCCTCAGTGTCCCGACTTCTAAAATGAGGAGGTGAGACTGCTCCATCTCCCAAGCTCCTCCCACCTCCAGGTACCGCTGGGACAGGATGGGAGGAACGGTTTCTCCAGAAGCAAAAAGTTGGGGAGAAGCGATCCGCAACAGTCCAGAAACCGCCGTCTCGGCTCTCCATGTTCACTCCTGTTATTTCTAATCATGGTAGCTGCTACTGGTCAAGTGAGGCGGGTCCTGCGAAGGCAGGGGAAGGCAACAGCCTCAGGAAGAAATTCTAAAGTGTTCTTTACTGGAGCCCTACTCCACTTCCCATGACATTGGAAGAAAATGTTTGAAGACATACGTAAAAAATGTTAGCATGTCTAGTTAGCTGGCCTTTCTAGGGAGCCCACAGGTTTTGGCTTTGCTCTGCAGATTATAGGACAAAAGGGGGAGTTCCCAATTCGATTGACAGAAGAAAGAGGAGGAGAGGTCAGGAAAGGGTCCCCTTCTGGGTAGGCGCATCGGAAGGCACAGCCGTCTTCCCCAGGGGAGCCCCATTTGATGAAGATAAAGATGCTCCTCCGTCGCAGGGGTTCATCACCCATCCAGGGCTCAGGATGCCCTCACCTCCTTGGGCTGGCACTTCCTATGAGCAGCAACCCTTTGGGAATCCCAATTCCACGGGGCTGGGGCCAGCGCTTTAAGAGCCACGTGAGCGCAGTACAGGCTCCACCCCCTTGCAGCTGTCCAATCAGTGTTTGCCGATGGATGGACTCATCAAGCTTGTCATCGTGCTCTGCGGGATGGCGGAGGCTGCCGGAGAGCCTGAGAACACAGAAATGAGTACCAGACAAGCCCACCCCCGAGGATGCCCCAGCAGGAATTTCGTAGCAGACAATCAGGTTCACGCGGACAACTATGAATTCACTGCTCTCGGTTTCTCTAGTTGGTGGGCCACAGGTGCTCCAGAAGTGACTGCCTGTTCCAGCCCTGAGCCACTTGACCGTGATGCAAACCTCAAAGCATCTTGGCCCATGGAGCTGGGTGGAGGGTGAAGAGGGGGAGAGAACCTGGGTGGGGGAGCAGGTGCAGAGTTCAGACAGTGTGCAGGCTCTGTACCCAGGGTCCCATCCCAAGTTTTGAGAGGTTCTTGGAAGCAAGAAACTGCCCAAGCAATGTTGGAAAAATGCTCCAGGAGGTTTAATGCTCTGCCAAGCTGGCCAGTTGGAGAACAGAGTTACGCATCCTCACTGGGGGAGAGGGGGGAGAGGGTAGGTAGAAGCCCGGCATCCCCCCATCCATCCACCCTACCGGACCCAGACCTTGGTGATTCCGGCCCTGTGCACTCCTGGCCAGCTCAGCCAGTGCTGGGAAATACGGTGTGAGGCCCACCAGCAGGTAGGGGCCTTGACTGGAGGTGACGCTGGGTGTCCAGTGGATGGTGAGAGCCACCCCATCCCCAGGCCTGGAGCAGGGACTCAGGAGTTAGGCTGTTGGGTGTGGATCCTGCCTCTGCCACTTACCGGGTATGTGACCTTGCCAAGTTCATTTAAGCTCCAGCACCCACCTGCTGAGTTCTGGCTCCACCTTGCAGGCCTGGTCCCTGTTGGCACATGGGTAGGGCCACCTGCTCTGCAGTGGAAGAGGAACGCCCACTGTTACGTGAAGGGAAAGAATAAGCCACCCCCTGGCGTCTACACCGTTTTAACCGCATGCGCGGTGTCTTCCGATTGGCTTCTCTCTGACTCCCTGTCTGGTCCTTTGCTTGCAGAGACCGTATGAAATCCACTCGGCCACACCCATTGATGAGATCCTCCACATGTTCAAGGTGGAGCGCGTCCACTACTCCTCCACGTGGTGCAAAGGCATGGTGGCACTGCTGAAGAAGGTAAGGGGACAGCCACCAGCCGGCCAGGCCTGGGGGCCGAAGTCAGTGCAGAAAGAGGCCTCCCAGCACATTCAGGCATGAGACAAGGAGCGGAATGCCAGTGGTGGGCTGGATAAAGTAGGCAGAGCGCTCACACCACATCGTGAGCCCACTCACAGTCTCGCGTCCCGGATCACAGGGCCACTGGGTGCTAGAGTCCGCTTGGAGATACATCTGCGGCAACAGGGCCCCGGGCTCTTTTCACTCCACTGCAGGCTCCTAATAAATAGAAATACTTAACGCATACGGCTCTTTAAAATTGTTGCCACGGATGGTCTTTTAAGCCGCTGAGCTTTAAGAAATGGGGCGTCTCCTGACTTTTTCCAGGAGCTAGAATTGACTAGAACAAAGCACTGGGTCCCCAAGGGTGTCCCCTGGGCCAGCAGCGGCAGGAGAAGCAGCAACAGCGGGGAGCGCGTTGGAAATGCAGATTCCCAGGCTCCACCCAGACCTTCTGACTCAGAAACTCTGGGGGTGGGGGGGACCCTGTGGTTTGTATTTCCATCAGCTTCCCGGGTGGTTCTGAAGCCCTCTCGAGTTTGGCGCAGTAGGGCTCTGGTGCCCTCCTTTGGAGGCTGGCATTTAGCTTTCCTGCCTCGGGATCCCCCGAGATGCTCAGGGTGGGTGGAGTCTGGCACGTGGTCGGGACACTTGAGGGAATGTCGTGTTCTGGGCCGGGCGCTGGCTCTTCGCAGTCCTCACAGCCCTGGGAGCCCATATTAGAGGTGAGAACACAGAGGCTCAGGAGGGCACAGTCCCGTCCGCGCCACAGGGCTGTCTGAGGGCGGAGGCGAGGTTTGAATCCAGGCTCTCCCCGCTCCAGACACCGCTGTTCTTCCCTACACCGCTGGCCATGACTAAGCTGCTTTAGAGGAGATTCAGTACTTGCTTCTCGGAAGTCAGGGGTCCTTAGAACCCACCGCCGACTAGAATCACCTGGATGCCCTACGCCCATGCCAGTGCCTGCCCCCCTCCCTGCCCCCTGTACCCAGGGGCGCTGGTTGTCCTGAACAGGGAACTCCCATGGAGCACGGGAGTGGAGTGTCTGTTTAAAGCTGCACCTGCTGTTTTGGGGCAGCCCCTGGGAGAAGGCTGCCATGACCAGCAGATAGGACTTTGCCAGGTGTCCGACATGGTGTGACCGCAGCCTGCTCGCTGGGCACAGCTGGGAGATTTCTGCAGTGTCGGGGGACGGGTGGGGGCGCTCGGCAAACTGGCAGGGGCGCTCTGACTTCTAGCTCCCACCTGTTGGCAGCCGGGTGCCACACCCCCCTTAGCGTTGGCCAGGCCCTTACCAGTCACCTTGGGTCCCATCCTAATCATGCGCTGGAAATGGAAGAGTTGCCTTCCTTCTCTAGAGGAGGAAACAGGTGCACAGCCGTCAGCAGCCTGTCCGCGCCTCGCAGCTGGGGTGGGGGTGGGAGTGGGGGGTTGGCAGGCCCGGGGCCAGGGCCCCTGTCTGGCACTGTTAGCCCAAGTGTTCTTTGTGCTGGGTAAGCCAGTACATATTTGAAAAGCTGAAAGCCCCATTTGGGTGCAAGGTAGTACTGCGTGGCTGTTTTTTATATATACTGCAGTATCCCGTATTAGCAAAAATTCTATCTGAGGTGAAGCTAAAATTTATACCCTTGGCTACAGATGAGGCCACTCCATCAGGCCACAGAGGTCACCACAGAGCTGCCCAGGGATAAATTCTATTACACTTTCTCGCACATCCGTTACCAAGCTGACAGTCTCACGATGAGGTGGCTAATTCCTTTTATATTTAATTGGAAGCCTCTGCAGACATCAGCGCGAGTGGGATGTCATGGGCGCTAGTCCCCAGGGACAGCACAGTGGCTGAAAATCCAGGTCCTGCCGAAGAATCTCTTTCTTTTGGAAGCAGCCTGCCCTCTGGGTTCCTCTCTGGCGACGGAGGGCTGAGTGTAGGTGATGCTTCCAACAATGGCAACACAGAGCACAGAATTAATGGAGCATAAAAAGCAGAGGCACCTTCATTTTTGCTAGACTTCCACCTTCGGGGTCCCCGTTAACCTCAGCGGGGCACATAGCTCAGGCAAGCACATTTGCCCTCTGCCCGCAGCTCCTGACCAAGGACCCTGAGAGCCGCCTGTCCAGCCTCGGTGACGTTCAGAGCGCACCCTACTTGGCCGACATGAACTGGGACGCTGTGTTCGAGAAGGCGCTGACGCCCGGCTTTGTGCCTAATGTGAGTGGGGGTATGGTCCACTGGCATGCCATCCCTCTGCGGGGTCCCCTGCCCTGCTCTGGAGGAACACCCCGAAGCTGGCCGGGGAGGCCTCTGCTGGCCATGGCCACAGGAGCTCCAAAGGGTTCACATTACGCAGAGATCGACTGTGGATTTGGACCTCTTTTCCAAGATTCCACCTGGGAAGCTTCTCTCCTTGTAGAAGGTCTTTGTGGGCACAGAGCTTCCTTTCTTTTATTGAATCACACCCACTGTGTGCGCAGGTCCAGGCACTGGGCGGGGAGAATCACACCAACCTATGTGCATCCACCCACCCGTTCATCCACCCACCCACCGATCCAGCTGGCCTGTATTCACTGAATACCTGCATATTCAGTGTGACCCGAGGGGAACCCCTATAAAGAAAACAGTCGTGGTGCCCATTGTCAGGGAGCTTGCAGATGAGAGCAGGCCTCCTCAACTGTGCTACAGTTAGTTGGCCTTACGACCAGACGATTCTTGGGTGGGGGCCTGTCCTGTCCATCGGAGACTAGCGGCATCCCTGGACTCTACCCGCAAAGTGCTCGTAGTCCTCCCCAGCTGTGACAACCAAAACCATCTCCAGACATTGCCAAGCACCCCTGGCGACAGCTGCCCCCTGTTGACAGCCAGTCCGCTAGGAATTTTGTCCCAATAATAAGCCAATCAACATACAAAGGCACCTATAGTGACCCAGGGCTGGGTCCTGGAGGGAGACTGCAGGCTGTCCCACCTGGGGGCACAGGCCGTAGAGACTTGGGTGCACTCCCACCTCTGTGACCTCGGGTGTACACCGGAAGGGGTTCTTCACCTGTACTGGGGAGATGAGAGAGATCACACACACACACACACACCCCGAACTTGGGAAGAGTAAATGCCAACAGGCCTCCCAAGACTCGGAGCAGAACCTGGTACTCAGTGAGCCCTCAGTAAATACCACCCTGGTAATGGCTGTTTTAATTAATAAACCTGCTGGAGCTCTGGACTCACTTCCCTTGGTTGGCTTCCCTCAGAATGCGCACTCCGGATATGCCAGAGAAATAGGCTAGCCTCCTTGGTGGTCCTCTTCTGCCTGGCGTACGCCAGGTTGCCAAAACCCAGGGATCTCGATGCAGTCCTTTGTATGGAGCACAAATTGCCTAAAGCTGTCTCCCTGTTGCCAGGGCTGAGCCTTCCCCAAGGCTGTGTGCCAGATGCCTGAGTGACCCTTGGGGCCAACGTGGGTTGTGCCCATCAGCCTTTTGTAGACCGCACCTCGTGCTCTTCCCCAAGCCCACCCAAACACACTCGTGCACACTCACAAGCACACTCACACTCACGCACACTCATGCACACTCACAAGCACACGCGCACTCGCGCACACTCACAAGCGCACGCACACTCGCACTCGTGCACACTTCCACACAAACACGTGCAGAGGACCCCTGCTTCAGCCACACCCGGACGCCTGCCGTGTGCCCTCTGGCCACACTGTGTCTCGGCCATGTACCTGTGCACACGCTACTTCCCCCTCTGGGGATGCCCTTCCTCTCCTTGGCCCCCGGCATCTCCTGTCCCTCCTTCAAGACCGCTTCAAACCCAGCGACTGGCCCATTTGAGGGTCTCGGTAACTGCATTCTGGAAGGGAGGCAGCCTTAAGCATTGCCTCCGATGGGACACGCCCCAGGCCAGCCCCCCACCTCCTTACCTAGAGTGAATCGCAGCCTCTCTGATCCTCCACTGGACGAGGGCGTAGATGTACATGAGCAGTTAATATCGTTCTGTTACAGTGTGTCTGCCATCCCCTGAGAGCTTCGGAGGCCAGAGCCCATGTAGCCTGGGCTGGCCTCTGCCTGAGAGAGACCCCAGAGCAATGGGTGGTGCTAGAAGGCACTAGAAGTTCTTGATGTGTGATTGTCACACAGATATAAATGGTTGAATGATAATGGTCCAACGGGATTGAGTGTTCTGCGTGCCAGGCATTGTTCTAAAATTCCACGTGCATTATCTCATATAAGTTCCACGACAGGGAAGTGCTTCTCGTAGGTAGTATTCTCAGGTTAAGTAACTTGCCCACGATTACTCCGTGAGAAATTGACCACAGGGAGTCTATATCCAGAGCCTGCATTGAAAGGAATGAATGAGTGAGTGAATGAATGAATGAATGAATGAATGGCAAATAAATCAGGCCAGGAAAGACTTGGACCAGCTTTTTGGAAGCGGTCCCTGTGCACCTCCAGACTGTGGATGGCATAACCACCAGGCTGTATTGCCTGAGGGGACTGGCGTCCCTAGCTGGGTCCCAGGATGGACAACGGCCACCTGGCACCTTGGGTGCACAGTCCAGAAGTCAGGGAGACAAAATTCCTCCTAACCAAAGTGGGTGGAGCCTAGCCTGTCCCCAGCTGAGGGGTAAGAGGGAGCTGGCATGGGGAACTGGGAGGATTATGGCCATAAATGGCATTTTAAAACTAAATTATTAAAAAGGATAGTTACAGAAAAAATAGTCATAACATGAGAATGTGTGTGTGATAAAATAAGTGGTTAAGTCAGATTGGGAAACTGAACTCAGCCTGGCAAAAGGAACCTTCACAGGAAGGAGACTGAAGAGTCATGTAGATGTTAATGGGGTTGGGGGGATACGAGGATAAATGAATGAGGGCTGCAGGGAGAATGTGCTTCTCCTCACCAGAAAAAAAAGACGTAACTGTGTACCCCACTGTAGTGGTTAATCATTACGTTGAATGAATGATGGATGGAATGAATGAATGAATGAATGTCCAAGGATGGGGGGAACCAAGACACTCAAGTCTGCTTTTCCGCTTGCTTTCAGAAGGGGAGATTGAACTGTGATCCCACATTTGAACTTGAAGAAATGATCCTCGAATCCAAGCCTCTTCACAAAAAGAAGAAGAGGTTGGCGAAGAACAGGTCCAAAGACGGCACGAAGGACAGCTGTCCTCTGGTGAGCGGGGTCTCGGGAGTGGACCCTGGGAGGGGAGGAATCCTAGACTCCAGGGAACAGAAAGGAGCGAGCCTGTTTTTAGGCATGTCACTCGGCCTCTCCACACACCTTCATTTGCAGTCAGTAAAATGGCTCCGTCGATGGAGTGGTTTTTATAGCGAAACCAAGGGAACCGCTGCAGTGCATATGTCCGTAGGAGCCGCTCACGTGGCCGCGAGTCCTAGTGCAGGGGCCTCGTGCATCTCTGGGCAGGAGTGGAAGAATGCATGCCATGCGGGGGGACACCGCGCCGTGCCGGGCAGTCCTGGGCACCCTCTGGAAAGGCTGTTCTGTGGGGGTACCCTCGGGGCGGGGGGCTGCCTTTCATGGGCCCCGGGCACAACGTGGTGACTTAAAGCCACCAAAACATGTTCTCTCACCGTCCTGGAAGCCGCAGTTCAAAATCAAGGTATGGACAGAGCTATGCTCTCTCCAAAGGCTGCGGGGCGAGGGTGGGGGGGGTCCTTCAGCGCCCCTCCCACTTTCAGTGGCACCAGTGGGCTTCAGCTGCTTCCACCGGTACCTGCCTCCTTCGCCACGTGGTGTTTCCTGTCCGTGTCTCTGGGCCTTCACAGGGCCTTCTTCTAAGGACACCAGATATTGGTTGAGGGCCCATCCTACTCTAGTAGGACCTCAAAGACCCTGTTTCCAAATAAGGTCACATTCACCATTACCAGGGCTTAGGACTTCAACACGTCTTTTTTTTTTTTTTTTTTGGTAAGATTTTATTTATTTATTTTAGGGAGATCGAGAGAGAGCTAGTGAGGTGGAGCAGCAGGGGAGGGAGGAGGAGAAAGCATCTGAAGCAGACTCCTTGCTCACCGTGGAGCCCGACTCAGGGCTCGATCCCACAACCTGTGAGATCATGACCTGAGCCCAAACCAAGAGCCAAGCACTTAACGGACTGAGCCAACGAGGTGCCCCTTGACACATCTTTTTAAGGGGCATGATTCAACCCACAGCTGCCTATTCCCCCATAAAAAAGATTTAAAATTATCTTTGACAACCATATGGGTATGAAGATGAAGATAGCTTTCAATGCTAAAAGTTCTTTCTTTCCCCTCCTTATTTTAAAAGAAATCAAAACATCTTTGTAGCGCCTAAAAGTACTGTGGGCCCTAGGCCCTAGGCCTGCTGAGCCTAATGCAGAAGCTGGCCTGGAGACACCTGCGTGCGTGTTAACAAGCACGCACGAGGGTGGGTGGGGTTCTGCACAGGCGTGCAGTGTCCATCCAGCATTCGTGCAGCCTCTAAGACCTGGGTTACAGAGCACTTGTTCTTGGCATCTGTTCTTGAAGAGGGTGAGCACCTTTGCAGGGTGGTCTTGAAATTCTACCCCCCTCCCATCCCACTTCGTAATAGGCCTAATGAACAGTCCAGCAATCGGGAAACCCAGCTTCATGATTTTCAACCCATATTCCATTCCAACATGACTTTTAAGTTGGATTTAATGGCTTAAAATTGAGGCAAACATCTTCATCTGCCAGGCTCCCCTCATAGCCGCCCATACCGTCAGGGCTGCTCAGCCACATAGCTCTTCCCCGGCCCCAGGCATCGGCAGTCCCATTTAGACCCAGCTCTGTTCGTGGTCACTCCTCTGTCATGGCTCCCTGGAGGGTGCTCCGTCATTTATGCTCCCCTCTCTGCTCTTTGGCAGAATGGACACCTCCAGCAGTGCTTGGAGACTGTGCGGAAGGAATTCATCATATTCAACAGAGAGAAGTAAGTCCTCCACCAGCATCTGCTGGACAGAGCCCTCCCAGATGGCAGCATGTCTCCCCGGGAGAATGGTGGTCCCTGGCCCCCCGCGATGCCAGCCATGGTGCGGGAAGGGAAGCAGCAGGTGGCCCCGTGTTCTAATCCTGCCTCTGCCATGCGAGCCAGACACCACCTTCATCCCCTGGACCTCGGGGTCTTCATGCAAAGTGGGGTAGCCATGGCAGGACCGGGCCGGCCCACAGGGAAGCCGGCGCAGCGGGGCAGACTCGGGGATGGCTCAGGGCCAGAGCTCTGGATGGAAAGCGCCCAGGGTCTGCCCCTGCCAGGCTGACCGTACAGGACGGGACGGCTCACTTCACTAAGCCTCATTTTCAGCATAGACAGGATGGAAATCCCTCCCTTGCAGTATGGTTGTTGCCAGATTAAATGAGGCTGTGGATACCATGCCTGACAAGGTCAGAGTCCTCATGGAAAGGTTACTGTTGTTGTTATGATTTAATGGGGTGAGGTGGTGAGGGCTGGCTGGGCAGGGACGCCGGCATCACTGGGCTGGCAGGACCCGGGACAGCACCGGGTTAGGAGGGGCTCGGGTGGGGTCTGAGCGGGCCCCAGCACTGCCCATACAGGGTCGGTCAGCGAAGGAAGCAGAAGACTCAGGCTTGGTCCCAGCAGGGTTACTGTCAGCGGCTCATCCAACTGGGGCTGATTGGCCAGAGCAGGATTCGGGCAGCGGTGGGACTGTGGGGTGGGCGCCGAAGCCCTGCAGGCAGGGCGAGCAGCAGACCAGTTGCATCTGACGGACACTGAACTGGGCCTTGGGCTCGCAGGGCCTCTCACATACGCTTCCAGCCCTCCAGGAGCGCCGGATGGGTAAGTCCCAGCGGGAGCCATGCCGGCACCCGGACTGCGCTGTTCTCGCTCACAGCAGGTGACAGCAACAGAGAGCATGTTACCAGGAGAAACACGGCAGCCCCGGCTGGGGCTCTCACAGCAGGTGCCGGGCTCAGCCTGGGGGTCAGGGAAGCTCCCCGAGGCACCACGCCCAGCTGAGCCCAGAGGGGCGAGGAGGGGAAGGGCGTGGAGGGCCAGGAGTGAGGACGGTACACAGAGAAGCAAAACGTAGACACCACAGCCAGTGAAGAAGTTTGACTTTGAGAGGCATGCACGGGGGCGGGCAGTGGTGGAAGGTGAGGGACCCCGTTCAGGGTTGCTTGGGTTCCAGCCAGTGGGCTGCCGGGCAGGGCCCCATTCCCCATAAGGTGCTGGGATAGGTCGGTCACTTGTCCTGGGCGGCGACAGCTCTCTGACTGGGGGGTGCCCGGGTCAGCCCAGATACACACACCAGGCTGAAGCAGCAGCCTCACCCCTGCGGGACCGCGTCTGTCTGGTGTCCCTGTTCCGGCCCGCAGAACGAGAAGGGCCTCTGTGACCGCGGTCCATCAGGCCTGGGGAAGGTGGCCACCGACACGGGGGTGGTTTCAGAGCTCACCATCATTTCCCTGCTGTCCTGCCGGCTCTGAGGCTCACGGTCCCTCCCCAGTCTAGAAACCCGGCTCCAGGAACTTCTGCTCAAGCCATCTCGGGGACTGTGCACCATGGGCTCCGGGCAGCCGTGCTCCGGACCCGTCCTCCCTTCAGGCGTGGACGGAGGGGTCCTCAGAGAGCACCTGCTGGCCGACGCGAGCCTGCGGGAGGCCTGAGCAGGGACGGGCCCAAGCAGGCAGGGGTGTGTGTCACCCTGTGTTGTGTGCCAGAAGATGCTTCCTTTGGAATCCAAAGAATCCAAATGATTTCCTCCTACGTGAAAATGAAAACGAGATACGCCTCCTTGTGTCGTTGAGGGGTCGCATCTGGCTGCGTTTAGCAGGAACGCCACTGTCTCGTGCCTTCAACCAGTAGGATGTTCTTTCTCACATGGAGAAGTGAGTGGATCAGGGAAATGTAGTAGGATCGCCCAGCCGTGTGGAGGACCCCTTAGAGATGTGTCGTCTTGGATCTGAAGTGAGGCTGGCACAGTGAACAGAGGTTGGCGAAAGAAAGAAAGAGAGCAGAGCCGTTTCCCAGACAGGAGGCGTCCGGGTCCAGGATCAGCGTGTGCGGAAGCCGCAGGAGACTGGGAAGAGATGGCTGACTGTAGGGGGAGCTGCGGGCATGGGGTCCGAGCTGTGGTTCCTGCTCTTGTGTCCCTCCCTCTCTGCTCACCTGAACTGCCCACCCCCCACACGCCCCCAGGGGCCCCGAAGGCTGGTAGGCTCGCTCCCACCTGCCATATGGAAGGATCCCGGTGCAGGGCTTCGCTGCGTCCCACCGGGATGCTGTCTGAGCACCATGTTGACCCCTCCACGTCCAACCCCATTCCTGCTCCACAGGGAACGTGGGAAAGGAGCCACATCACAACCAGCACAGCCCTCCCTGCTGCAGTTTCTCATCTGTACATGCCTGTGAGGAGTCCATTTGTGAGGCACAGCTTTCCCAAAGCCAAGAGTTTTCCTTTTAAACCCAGAAAAAACGGGGGGCCTGTTTGTCCCCCACCCCATTCTGCAACCCTGTGATTGCAGCACCTGCCATGTTGGCACTTGAGCAGTTGGAACATTAAACCTTCCTATCTGACATCCGCCAGTGGCCGGGGGCTTGACTGGGGAGGGGATGCTGAGATGCTGAGCCGGGCTCCCCTTCACACTCGCTGGGGCCCCACTGCCCTGGGCAGCCTCCAGCGGCTGTCAGCTTTCCTTCTCCGCGCACCAGGCCATCAGCTCACGGCAAACTGGGCCGGCTCCTGCTGCAGAGAGGGCCACCAAGGTGAATCAGAAGGAAGGGCCCTGGTCACAGGAGTATACATCACAAACCCCGGGGGAATGTGGGGGAGGGGCTATTACCATTTGCAGTTGCTGCACCTGTTATGGTTTGAATTGTGCCCCCCAGAAAGACATGTTGAAGTTCTAGCCTCCAGTCCCTTAGAACGTGACCTCATTTGGACATAGGGTTGTTGCAGACATAATTAGTTAAGATGAGGTCCTACGGGAGGACGGGGCCGTCATCCCTACTCCACTATGACTCCCAAGCTGCAAGGGTATGGAGACAGGAACGCCAGGGATGGCCAGCTGCCACCAGAAGCTGGGAGAGAGGCCTGGACCAGATTCTCCCTCAGCCTCCAGAAGGAACCAACCCGGCTGCCCACCTTGAGTTCAGACTTCTGGCCTCCAGAATCAAGAGACAATACGTTTCTGTTGTTGTAAGCCCCCCAGATGGTAGTGATGTGTTACAGCCGCCTTACGGAATGGACACCGCACCCTCTGAGTCAGAGCCTGGCTGGTCAGCGAACAGGCCTGGTGATGTGCATTTTAACATGCTCTTGGTGTCATTTGGACGCCTCATAGTTTGAGAACTTCTGCTGAGAGAGGCCGAGTGTGCTCAAACAGGGCCTCCTCTGGCAGGTTCTGAGCTGGTCACAAGAATCCCTATCTAAAACTGCAACCCTTCCAGCCCTCTGTCTCCCTCGCTCTGGGGTAGTGACCTGCAGCTCTGAGCCCTCATGGGCTTAACTAGACGTGCTCCCGAGGGCCTCACCCCTGCACGGCTACCTGGCCCCTGCACAGAGCCTGTGTGCTTCCTTAGCGAGAACGAGCCCTGGGGCAGAGAAAAGGTTCCCCTTCCCCCGCATTCAATGAGGAAGCCATCCTCAGTATGCAGTGCCCAGGGGATGCGGGCAGGCATCAGCCACGCTAGCTCCTCTAGGAGATTCTCATTCAGTCCTCTAACAGGAAGCCGTAATCTTGGACTGGACCCTGAGACGTGGAAGCAGATCGAGCAGGACCAGTGCCCTCAGGATGTTCGCAGGTGGCAGGGGAGATGCTGGGATGCAGACGTAGAGGGGCCACTGTGGGGATGTGGAGGACATGCCCTGGGTCCGACCTCTCTGGACCTCAGGTTCTAAACAGAGAGCAAAATTTAAATGAGCACTGCCTGATTTTCTAGAAACACAGCTTATTACTGGTTTCTGGTCTCAACCGACAGAAGGCCACCAGGCCAGGTGGAACGTCTGCTTCCAGGGACTGGTCCAGGGACTTGAAGGCCTTGGCATCTGAGGCTTCCATTAGCTTGAGGAACATACTGTGGGTCGTGTCCTCCTATTTTGGGCCAAAGAGATGAGTGCAGTTTTTCCAAAAGGTCTTTTCAATAGCATATGACAGAGTTTTCCAGAATCGGGAGCCCCTGGTGAGAGAGGAGTTTCAGGAGCTGGATTTTCTATCTGTGTTATCTCGTAAAGAAACCGACAGACTTAAAACCACATTAAAGTGACGTTTGGAGGCCCTGAAAATGTTATATTTAAAAAAATCGAATTCTGCCATTTGTTATACTAAATAATACTATTAATAATAATAAGCGACATCGGTATATGGTTTTATGGTTTGAGATCCCGTTTCTTTAATCCGGATTTCTTAGCCTCGGTCCTGTTGACATTGGATGACGGTTGACATCAATGTTTGGATGCGGGGACTGTCCCCTGCATTGTATGAGGTTTACCAGCATCTGTGGCCTCCGCCCATCGATACCGGTAGCACCTCTATTGTAGTGACGACCAAAACTGACCCCAGACGTTGCCCGATGTTCCCCAGCAGGCAGGTTGCCCTGGTGAGGAGTCACTGCTTTGACCCTTACTTTCCACACTTCCTGAGGTGCGTATTACTAGGATTCCCCACGTCTGCAGCTCTGAACTGAAATATGAAGGACTTGAAATCTAATCTCCCATCCCCTAGATCCTGGGCTCTTTCTACTGCGTGTGCTTTCATCCAGCTGTTCAGCAGATGTTTATTCAAGGTCAGATACAAGGGGACACAGCTGGGAGCAAGCCCCGCCTCTGTTCTCACGTGGCTCACACTCTGACAGAATGAGCTTCAGGACCTGAAGGGAGGGGGTACTTCCGTACATGGTGTCTTTGGGGGTGTCTCCGGTGCATCCAGGTGGGGCAGTGGCTTGCACAGAGCGGATGGCCGCAAGGGCACACTTTTATTGGACACCCAGTCTATGCCATGCAGTCTGTCCATCCATCCTATGGGCCAGGTACTTTTGCCCCTCCTCCCACCCCGTTATAGGTGAAGAAGGGCAGGTTGAGGGCACATGGCTAAGAGGGGGCAGGGCTGGGGTTCCATGGAGGTAATCAGGCTCCAGAGCCCAGTGCAAAACGGCCCCTTGCCCCGCATATTTAATGCTGAACAAGGAATTTCCACTAGCTGCATAGACATCGCCTGTCGGTGA